CTCGCCATCAGCAGGGCCAAAGAGAGAGCCAAGGAGGAACTCCTGGAGACTCTCAACAAAGATCCATGGGGGCGCCCATACAGGAGCGTAAGGGGCAAACTACGCCCCTGGACGCCCCCCGTGGCAGAGAGCCTCCAGCCCCAGCAATTGGAGGGGGTGTTGACAGCTCTGTTTCCAGAGCAGCCGGAGTTCACACCCCCCCCAATGGGGCCGCGCGGTCGTCAACAAGACGGCGGCGGCCCCGTAGATGCTGGGGTGCCGGTAATAACGACGGCGGAGTTCTCCACGGCCGTGGACAGGCTCCGGGGCAAAAACACCGCCCCGGGACCCGATGGTGTTCCCGGCCTCGCTCTCTACTTGGCCCTCGGTGCCCTTGGGGACCGACTCCATAGCCTCTTTAACGAGTGCATGGAGTCGGGACGATTTCCCAACAAATGGAAAACGGGCAGGGTAGTCCTGCTCCGTAAGGAGGGACGCCCCGTAGATTCCATCTCTCCCTCGGCGTTCCGCCCGATTGTGCTCCTTGACGAGGTCGGCAAACTGTTTGAGAGGGTTATAGTGAGCCGCCTCGTCAAGCACCTGGTCGAAGTGGGTCCCGATCTTTCCCCGAATCAGTTTGGTTTCCGAGAGGGCCGGTCCACAATAGATGCGATCGCGCAAGTCCGTGCCCTCTCGGAGAATGTGGTTTCCAAAGAGGGGGTGTTGTTGGCGGTATCCTTGGATATCAAAAATGCCTTCAACACCCTCCCCTTCGAGTGTATAAGGGAGGCACTAAAACATCATAGAGTGCCTCCCTACCTGAGGGACGTGATCGGGGCCTACCTTCAAGAGCGGAAGGTGGTGTGCATCGGGCGGAATGGCGCGATGGTAGAGAGGGAGATGCAGCGCGGTGTTCCACAGGGATCGGTTCTGGGTCCGGTCCTGTGGAACATCGGCTACGATTGGAATCTGCGGGGCGCTCTGCTCCGGGGTACCAGCGTCGTATGTTACGCGGACGACACGCTGGTCACCTCTCGGGGCCAGGACTACCGGGAGGCTGCCCGGTTGGCTACCGCCAGTGTGACGCAAGTTGTCGGCAGAATAAGGAGATTGGGGCTCGAGGTGGCGCTCGACAAGACGGAGGTCCTGTGTTTTCATGGGCCCCGTAGAGCGCCGCCGCCAGGAGCCCGTCTCGTGGTCAGCGGCCACAGTCTGGAGGTCAGGCCGTACATCAGGTACCTCGGGCTTGACCTCGACAGTCGCTGGGATTTCCGGTTCCACTTCAGGAACCTGGCTCCTCGTCTTATGGCGACGGCCGGCGCTCTAAGCTGGTTGTTGCCCAATATCGGGGGGCCGGGTGGCAATTGCCGCCGTCTCTACCTGAATGTGGTGCAGTCGATGGCCCTATACGGGGCCCCCATTTGGCATGGGGCCCTGTCCAGGGAAAACACAGCCACGCTCCTGCGTCCGCAGCGAGCGATGGCTGTGAGGGCCATCCGAGGGTACCGCACCATCTCGGGTGAGGCGGCGTGCTTGCTTGCGGGCTCTCCGCCCTGGGACTTAGAGGCAGAATCCCGCGCGTCTCTCTATCATTGGCGCGCGGAGGCCAAGGCCCAGGGAGGGGAGCCTTCTGGAGTGGAAATCGCGGAACGGAAATCCCATCTTCGGCGAGTCCTCAGGGAGAAATGGCAGGAGAGGCTGGCATATCCAACGGCTGGCCTGAGGACCGTCGAAGCTGTCCGTCCTGTACTCAAGAAGTGGATGGGCAGGCGGCGTGGACCGCTGACCTACCGACTTACACAGGTGCTGTCCGGACATGGCTGTTTCGGGCGGTACCTGTGTAACGTCGCGAGGAGAGAGCCGACAACTTGCTGTCACCAGTGTGGATGCGACCAGGACACGGCGCAGCACGTGCTGGAGGAGTGCCCTGCTTTTGCAGAGGAGCGCCGCGTCTTGGTCGCGGATGTGGGGGACGACCTCTCGCTGCCGAATGTAGTTCGGGAAATGGTCAGGAGCGAGAGGTCGTGGCTGGCAATGGTGGCCTTCTGCGAAGCAGTGATGTCGCAGAAGGAGGCGGCGGAGAGGGAGCGTGAGAACGACCCATCCGCCCCAGTGATCCGCCGCCGGAGGACCAGGCGTAGACGTCGGGACGAGCCCAACTCCGTCCTGACTCTACCCCCCACAGGGGCCGGGGCGATGCCTTGAGGGAGGCGTTGCCCCATAGCCAGGCCCCTGGAGGTGCGCGCGTGTACCCACGCGCCTCCAAGAGTAGGTAGGGTGCGTCCAGAGCACCCTAACCAGAGAGAGGGGCCCGTCCTACAACATCTACAGGACGGGCCATGCCGCCGGGGTCAGGGTGGAATGCAAATGCGAACCCCTGTCCTCGGCTCAAAGGCACCTCGAGGTATACCGTGTGGTTTTTAGTGAGTCAAGTCTCACACACCACCTCGCCATCCCTCCGGCGGGGTGACGGTCTTTTGAAGATTTTCCACACGTTAAAAAAAAAAAAAAAAAAAAAAAAAAAAAAAAAAAAAAAAAAAAAGGTTAGGTTAGGTTAGGTTAGGTTAGGTTAGGTTAGGTTAGGTTGGGGCGTGGGTCGGGCAACCTCCTAGTATGGGCCTGCCATTGGGAGGCTTCCCCATCCTCGTGGATACGTCCGCGGGGAACGGTGGCCGAGCAATGGTTTGGTTCTGGTACGCCCCGGGCGGGATAGTAGTCGTTCCTTCGGGATACGGCTACTATGTCGGCCAGTAGCCCGGCAGGTTGGGCGGGTTGCGGATTCCTATGCCTCGACAAAAGTCGAGGATCCCGGAGTCAGGAACCCGCCCAACTTCTTGTTTTAATCTTCGTTTTGTTTGTTTCTTCTTCTTTGTTTTGTTTGGGTTTTTACTTCTTTTTGTTTTGTTTTAATTTATTTGGGTTTTAGTTAGTCTTTGGTTTTTGTCTGTCTTTTTTCTGTCTTTTGTCTGTCCTATTTTTTTTTTTTTTTTTTTTTGGTTTTCTTTTCTGTTTCTTTTTCGTCGTTGTTGGCGGGAGATCGGGACCACACCCGTAAAAAGGAAAAATATGAAATGGCTGAACGAAAGAAGAATATACCCCAGGGAGGTACCGGTCGCTCTGCGGCCGGAGAATCCTCCTCCACCGCACCAGATCAGCTGGGGGTGGACTGTCCCGCGTCTTCTGGGGGGGACACGCTCAGTCTTAGGAGGGAGTGGGAAGAGAAGGTGAAGGCGATATGTCGGACGGTGGCGGACATATCCGATTATGAGGTCCACGTGGCGAACATGGACTCCGAATTCACGGGGTCCTCGCTATCGTTGGGATCAGAGGAACAGTGCCAAAGGGTGAGCACTTCGCCCAAAAGGTTCCGGAGAAAGAGGCGCGTCGTCGAGAGGCCGCAAGACCTGGACTCCGACGACGACGTCGATTTAATAGAGGTGTCCACACCCAGGACAGGAGGGGCTATGAGCCCATCGCAAAGAGGGAAGGGGGCGCGAACCGCCCGAATGGAGACAGAGGGATCGGCGTCTGAAGCCGGTTCCTCCAGATCCGTCTCCGCCCCGGCGACTGCCACCCGCGGAACATTTGGCGGCGGTGAGGTGCGGCGCGTCGAAGAGATGGGCGCTGACGAATTGGGTGCTTCGATTGAGGAGGGTGCCCTCCAGGTTCTTGCCGCGGTGCGGGTGTCCGGCAACCTGAAGGGCACCATCGTCAAGGCGATAAAGAACTCCGTCGCCGCCATTCGGTCAGCGTCGGAGGTTCTGAAGGAGAGGACGGTCAGCTCCGAAGTGGCGACTCTCACAAGGGAGAACGCCCGCCTAAGAGACGACCTTGCTCATGCGAAGGAGATGTCCGCGGGAGCACTGGACGAGGCATTGGCGGATAAGAGGGAGATCCTCGCCCTCCGCAAATCGGCGCGCTCCTCCACCAACTTGGCCGAGGAAGTAGCTCAGCTCAAGGCTGAGAATGAGGTCTTGAAGCGGGAGGCACAGGAGAACAGGCGGCTTTTAGAGGAGCTGAAGAAGGCCAATGCTCTGGATCGTGCCACCCTGCGGAAGGTCCAGGTTGAGCTGGAGGAGGCGAGGAATGCCATTGAGCTCCCCGCCGTGACCATCACGGGAACAACAGCGGAAGCCCCGGAAGGTGCCGCACCCCGGACCCCATCGGAAGACGCCGAAGACCGGATGATCCGGCGAGTAGGCGAGATGATGGACGCCCGCTTCGCCGAGATGGAGGAGCGGATCTCGGCGAAGCGTCAGCGGCCACCAAAGGCTGCTAAGAGTGCGCCTGCTCCCGGATCGTCCGGGCCGGCGACCGATGGGGTCCCACAGACCGGGAAACCCAGCCGGGGAGGAGACCCGCAGCCGTCGACCTCAGCCAACCAGGAGGGATGGTCGACGGTGGTACGGCGCGGGAAGCGCAAGGGCGCTGGCGCAAGCCAGACGGCTCCCGCCAATGCGCGTCCGCCGCGAAGGGGCCACGCGGCGGCCAACAGAGGCACCCCCGCAGCGGAAGGCATCCGCGCGGAAGGTTAACGCACGCCCCCCTCGCTCATCGGCAGTGGTGTTAACCATGAGGCCGGGAGCCGAGGAGAGGGGCGTCACCTACAGGTCGGTGCTCACCGAAGCGAAGGCCAAGATTTCCTTGGCCCAGCTCGGTATCACCGACCTGAGGTTCAAAGTAGGGAGAACCGGGTCCCGTATCCTGGAGATCCCCGGAACGCACACAGGCGAGGCGGCAGACGCGTTGGCCGCCAAAATCGAGGAGGTCCTGCCCGAGGACACCGTCCGGGTCTCCAGGCCAGTGAAGTCGGCCGAGCTGCGCATTGGAGATCTGGACGACTCGGTAATGGTGGCCGACGTGGTCGTAGCCGTGATGCGTGAGGGGGTTGCCTGGAATCCTCGGTGAAAACCGGGGAGATCCGGCGCAACACCCAGGGAACGGGATCCGTGTGGGTGCGGTGCCCTGTGGCCGCCGCAAAGAAGTTGGCCGAGGCCGGCCGGCTTAAGATAGGGTGGGTGATGGCGCGGGTGCAGTCGCTGGACCCGCGTCCCCAGCGGTGCTATCGCTGCCTCCTTACGGGACACGTGGGAGTGCGATGCACCGCTACGGAGGACAGCAGCGGAATATGTTTCCGCTGCAGCGAGCCCGGCCATAAGGCCGCGCGCTGCGCCGCGCCATCGCCGAAGTGTCGGTATTGTGCCGCGGCGGGTCGGAAATCCGACCATAGAGTGGGCGTCACAAATTTGTGTCGCCCGCCTAAGGCCCGAGCCGCGGCACGGGCCACACGCGGGGGGGGGGAGTCGATGGACACTTGAGTAAAATCAGGTGTGCATCGACTCCAAAATTGACCCTAGGGTGGAGGATTGTTAGGGCAATCCGAAGCTCACCGGGGAGGCATTAGGGTCTGGAGGTGGCGTGCAGAGACTGTTCCCTGCACGCCTAGATGGAGGTCCCTTCGATGGGAACCATGCCGGTGGTCTTGGTGAATGCTTATGCGTATCCCATGGCCACGGCGATTATGTCGAGGAGGAACAGTCGTCAGGTTTTTAGCAGGTAGGAGTCCGGCAGTATCCATTCTTCCCTAAGGGAATGGTTCTCCATGATGGATTTTCCTGACGTTAAAAAAAAAAAAAAAAAAAAGGTTAGGTTAGGTTAGGTTAGGTTAGGTTAGGTTAGGTTAGGTTAGGTTGGGGCGTGTGGTCGGGCAACCTCCTAGTATGGGCCTGCCATTGGGAAGCTTCCCCATCCTCGTGGATACGTCCGCGGGGAACGGTGGCCGAGCAATGGTTTGGTTCTGGTACGCCCCGGGCGGGATAGTAGTCGTTCCTTCGGGATACGGCTACTATGTCGGCCAGTAGCCCGGCAGGTTGGGCGGGTTTAGGATTCCTATACCTCGACAAAAGTCGAGGTTCCCGGAGTTAGGAACCCGCCCAACTTTCTCTTTTGTCTTCGTTTTGTTTGTTTCATCTTCTTTGTTTGGTTTGTTTTTTTTCTTCTTTTGTTTTGGTTTAATTTATTTGTTTTTAGTTTGTCTTGGGTTTTGTCTGTCTTTCTCTGTCTTTGTCCTTTTCTATCATTTTGGTTTTATTTCTATTTCTGTTTCGTCGTTGGCGGGAGTTCGGGACCACACCCGTAAAAAGGAACAAAATGAAAATGACAGATCGCAAAAGCAAACTACCCCAGGGAGGTACCGGTCGCTCAGCGGCCGGAGAATCCTCCTCCACCGCACCGGATTTGCCGGGGGTGGGCTGTCCCACGTTTTCTGGGGGGGACACGGTATGTCATTTGGAGATGGAGGAGAGGGTTAGGAGAACGCAAGAGGAGTTGCGACTTCTGAGCGCGATCGAGGATGAGGCATTGATGGACTCGGAGCGGACGGGTTCCTCATTGTCGATGCGTTCGGACGATTTCTTCGCACTTCGTAGGAGTACTTCGCCGAAAAAGTATCGGAAGAGGCGAATAGTCGAGATCCACCAACAACTGGACTCCGACGATGACGACGTCGATGTAGTGGAGGTTTCGTCAGAGCGAAACACGAGCCCGAGTGTTGGGAAGGGGAAGGGAAAGGGGAAACGGAAGGGGAAACCCGTGGCCCGAATGGAGACCGAGGCGTCGGCGTCAGAGGCGGAATCCCCCGGTACTGTGGCTGCTGTCTGCCAAGCTACCGAGGAGGACTATATGCTGGGCTCCGACGAACTCGGAGACAAGGTGGAGGACGGTGCCCTTCAGGTTCTAGCCGCCGTGAAAAAGTCCGGCAACCTGAAGGGCACAATAATCAGGGACATCAAGATAGCTGTTGGCACCATCCGCTCGGCCTCCAGAACCCTGAAAATGAGGTCTGGCTCCTCAGAGGAGGACGCCCTCAGGAGGGAGGTCCGAAAGCTTCGCTCCGAGCTGGACGAAGTGAAGGAGATAAAGTCGGCCATGCTGAAGGAATCAATCGAAGAGCGGAAGAAATTCCGACAGCTACAAATGGCGTCACAGTCCTCCGCCGCGCTTGCTGACGAACTAGCAGCGCTGAAGGCGGAGAGAGAGGGGTGGGAGAGGCAAAGGCGGGAGAGCGTCCAAAAACTAGAGGATATGAGGAAACAGAACGCTCTAGACCGCCTTGCCCTCCAAAGAGCCCTACAGACAGTGGAGGAGCTTAAGACCGCGGCGGACCTCCCGCCAGTCGTCATAGCGGGAACAACGGAGGCTGCGCCGGAAGGCGCCTCACCTCGAATACAGAAGGAGGACGCCGAAGACCGGATCATCCGGCGAGTAGGCGAAATGATGGAGAGCCGCTTCGCCGAGATGGAAGAGCGGATCTCGGCGAAGAGGAAACGGTCTCCAAAGATTAGGAGTGTGCCTACTGCCGGATCATCCGGTCCAAGGAATGACAGGGCCCCGCAACGGGAGCCCAGTGGTGGACACGTTCCACAGCCGTCGACGTCGTCGGAAAACAAGGAGGGCTGGTCGACGGTCGTGAGACGCAAGAGGCGTAAGGCAGCCGCTGCCAATACGCCACCAACGAAGGGGCCAAGCGGCCAAAAGAAGGAACCGCAGCGTAAGCCCGCGCGTAAAGTGAAGGCACGTCCCCCTCGGTCATCGGCAGTGGTTTTAACCATAAGTCCGGGAGCCGAGGAGAGGGGCGTCACCTATAGGTCGGTGCTCACCGATGCGAAGGCCAATATCTCATTGGCCCAGCTCGGTATCACCGACCTTAGGTACAGGGTAGGAAGAACTGGGGCCCGTATCCTGGAGATTCCCGGCAAAGACACAGGCGACAAGGCGGACGCGTTGGCCGCCAAGATAGAGGAGGTCCTACCCGAGGACGTCCGGGTCTCGAGACCGGTCAAAACGGCTGAACTTAGGCTCGTTGACCTGGACGACTCGGTGTCGGTGGCCGACGTGGTAGTCGCGATCATGCGGGACGGGGAGTGCCGGGAGTCCTCGGTGAAAACCGGGGAAATCCGGCGCAACCCGCAGGGTACGGGCTCAATTTGGGTGCGGTGTCCTGTGGCCGCCGCCAAGAAGTTGGCCGAGGCCGGCCGGCTGAAGATCGGGTGGATGATGGCGCGGGTACAGTCGCTGGACCCGCGTCCTCAGCGGTGTTATCGGTGCCTTCTTACAGGCCATGTGGGCATCCGATGCACCGCCGGGGAAGACTGCAGCGGAATTTGTTTCCGCTGCAGCGAGCCCGGCCACAAGGCCGCACGGTGCGCCGCGCCATCACCGCACTGCCGGTACTGTGCCGCGGCGGGTCGCAAGTCCGACCATAGAGTGGGCGTCACAAATTTGTGTCGCCCGCCGAAGGCCCGAGCCGCGGCACGGGCCACAGGTGGGGGGGGGGAGTCGATGGACACTTGAGTAAAATCAGGTGTGCATCGACTCCAAAATTGACCCTAGGGTGGAGGATTGTTAGGGCAATCCGAAGCTCGCCGGGGAGGTTTTAGGGTCTGGAGGTGGCGTGCAGAGACTGTTCCCTGCACGCCTAGATGGAGGTCCCTTCGATGGGAACCATGCCGGTGGTCTTGGTGAATGCTTTGCGTATCCCATGGCCACGGCGATTATGTCGAGGAGGAACAGTCGTCAGGTTTTTAGCAGGTAGGAGTCCGGCAGTATCCATTCTTCCCTAAGGGAATGGTTCTCCATGATGGATTTTCCTGACGTGAAAAAAAAAAAAAAAAAAAAAAAAAAAAAAAGGTTAGGTTAGGTTAGGTTAGGTTAGGTTAGGTTAGGTTAGGTTAGGTTAGGTTAGGTTAGGTTAGGTTAGGTTAGGTTGGGGCGTGGGTCGGGCAACCTCCTAGTATGGGCCTGCCATTGGGGGGCTTCCCCATCCTCGTGGATACGTCCGCGGGGAACGGTGGCCGAGCAATGGTTTGGTTCTGGTACGCCCCGGGCGGGATAGTAGTCGTTCCTTCGGGATACGGCTACTATGTCGGCCAGTAGCCCGGCAGGTTGGGCGGGTTTAGGATTCCTATGCCTCGACAAAAGTCGAGGATCCCGGAGTTAGGAACCCGCCCAACTTCTTGTTTTAGTCTTCTTTTTGTTCGTTTCTTCTTCTTTGTTTTGTTTGGGTTTTTACTTCTTTTATTGTTTTGTTTTAATTTATTCGGGTTTTAGTTTGTCTTTGGTTTTTATCTGTCTTTGTCTGTCTGTTTGTCTTTTCTGTCTTTTTGGTTTTGTTTCTTCGTTTTCTTTTTTTTCGTCGTTCGTGGCAGGAGGTCGGGACCACACCCGTAAAAAGGACAAAAATGAATGGCTGAACGTAAAAGGATACCCCAGGGAGGTACCGGTCGCTCTGCGGCCGGAGAATCCTCCCCCACCGCACCGGGTTTGCCGGGGGTGGGCCGTCCCAAGTATTCTGGGGGGGACGCGGACAGCCGGAGAAAGGAGTGGGAGGATGAAGTTAGGAGGTGCGTTGAGGCCGTGAAAGGGATTGAGGAGTTTGAGATCCACGTGGCCGGCATGGACTCCGAGTGCACGGAGTCCGGATTGTCGGCTGCGTCGGAGGACTGCCTCAATTCCATGTCCGTAACATCTGAGGACTGCCTCAACGTAAGGGTGAGCACTTCGCCCAAACGTGTTCGGCGGAAGAGGCGCGTCGTCGAGAGGCCGCAAGACCTGGACTCCGACGACGACGTCGAGGTTGTAGAGGTGGCGAAACGGGTCCCGAGCCCGAAAGCCGAACTGGGGAAAGGGAAGAGCAAGCGTGCCACCCGAATGGAGACAGAGGGTTCGGCGTCTGACGCTGGGCCCTCCAGAGCCGTCTCCGCCTCAGTAACAGAGGTCCGTCGCGCTGATGAACTCGGCGCCACCATCGAGGATAGTGCCCGGAAGGTTCTTGCCGCGGTCAAAGTATCCGGCAACCTGAAGGGCACTATTATAAAGGAGATCAAGGACGCCATCGCCA